TCAATTATCTCTACTTGACCCCACAAGACTACGATAGACTACGCCAAACGAAATCCGTCAATTGCGAAAAGGTGGTGGAGAACGGTGAGGAGCGCTACAAAATGGTCGACGTTATCGGTGAGTTTGGTAGTATCCAATTACCTTAGCTCTTTTTTGCGTCCTAATGTGAATAATATGATAACTAATGTGTTTTATCCACCATAATATATTTTCAAAAATTAGGCAATGATTTTGACATATCATGCTATAACGTACGTGGATCTGCGATGATCGCTGGTGAAACAGCAGTGGCCTACGATGAGTGTTTCACGCTCAGCATTGTAACGGGCCAAACCATCGGCATTGGTGCCTTCCTGGTCGGTTTAGGAAGACGAATCATTCAGGTAGGATATTGAGAATACGTGAGTTTGGCCTAATGCAAATGTCTCAGACTAATTTTCTCGAATTTCCCTTGGCGGGTTTCTTCTTCATCAAAAATCATGAGTCAAGTCAACTTATTCAATGGCGGTGCCTTGTAGTGATGGTTTTGATGCAGATTCAGTGTCACAACAATGCGACAAAGGTGCTTGTTTGGTCTTTTTTGTACTCTTGTTCCGTTTGCAGATTGCGAAATCGCATATCATTCTGACGGACATTACGGTGCTCAACAAGCTGCACGGAAGTCAAGTGTACACTAGTAATGACCAACTTGGTGGTATTAAGGTAGGTGTGACTAAGTTAGGTAAGAGTGGTTTTTGATTTAGACGTACTTTACCAACATGTTCATCGTCTTTTCATCAAGGTGATGGCAAAAAGCGGTATGTGTCACCTTGTCGTTCCAGATGAGTTTACGGCGATCCAGCAGATGGTTAACTGGCTGTCATTTGTTCCGCTTAAGCGGGGTGCCCGTCTCCCACTCCTGCGCCAACCAGTTCCTACATCCATTTGCGCAGGCGGTGTTGATCCAATCGATCGACCGGTGGAGTATATTCCCTCTCGTGAGAGAACCAATGATGATCCTCGATGGATGTTCACAGGAGTACTAAGTGAGTTTCGTAAGAGGGTGGCGAATGCTTCGTGAAGGCGTGACGAGTCACTATTTCCCAGCAGTATAATTATGCTCAGGCTTCAGTCTGGTAGTGTACAGTCGAGACAAGTGCGAATAGAACCCCTTCAACTGCCTCGCATTTCTTGCTGACAGGTGGCCAGTTTGAATCGACGCTCGACGATGACGATATACTCGAGGCGTCAACTGAAAAGGACCAACAGTGGTTGTCTGGGTTCTTTGATTGGGGTTCCTGGCAGGAGCTGCATGGATCGTGGGCAACGGGTGTAATTGTGGGTCGAGCACGTCTCGGCGGCATTCCCTGTGGTGTGATCACTCCTGAGACCCGCGTTTCTGTCAATCAAGTGCCAGCAGATCCCTCCGATCCGGTCTCTAAAGAACAGTCAATTAAACGGTATGGACGAGTTTGGTATGCGGACACCTCGTACAAGACGGCTCAGACCATCGCGGACTTTGCTCGAGAGGAACTGCCTCTTTTTGTGTTTGCCAATTGGCGTGGCATCTCTGGTGGACTCAAGGACATGTACGAGCAGGTACTCTTAGGTTTTAACCATATCTAGTTCTGTCTGCACTGTAATGAATTGTGGTGATTCACGTTCATGCGACCTGCATCTGCATTCGCCAACTCACTGCCACCTTTACATGGCAAGTGCGACAGTCATGCGAGCCTGTCTGCTCATTCACCCATTTGCATGTACCATCACCACTCGCCTCATCTGTCTGACCTTTCAGACATTTGTACTTTTACTTGTTCACCCAGACTGCATCAGTCAACAAAAACCCGCGAGTCATGATCGGCCTTTAGCAGACGCACACGACATCACAGCTTCGTTAAGCTATGTAGTGAACGGTTGTGAGTCGTCCTCACTGGTCTTCTTCATTTTAACTGGTGTCAGGGTGGCGTTATCGGGCTAAATTCAACACAGTTTCCCGGGGTGTGGCTCAAGTCAATATGCCAGGGCCAACTATAGCATTTCTGCTTGCTCATTGATACTCAGATCCGCTTCATTGCTATCGTTCGCCGAATTATTACCGGAATGTCTTTTTGAAGTGGACTAGGCTGCTTTTCGCCACCGCTCAAACATGCTCTACCAATACCATCTAGTCTTTCCTACTGTTCACGCGACTTCTGTAGGCACCATATGCTGACTAACAGCGTTCGACTGGTGAGTCTGTCAAATCCCCAGTAGAATGTGTGAACTCAGCTTCTTTCGAAATTGCAGTGATCGCTCATTGAGTCTTGGTTTTGGCTCTCGCGAAAACCGTGGTGGCTGCCTGAAGCATCGAGCAGGTTTGTTGTTATGTTGATGCCAAATACTGCTAGAAGTTGGTGATTTTGCCTTTCAGATTCTCAAGTTCAGTACGATGATTGTGGAGGAGCTGATAACCTACCCATGTCCAGTTTTCGTTTACCTACCTCCACACGCAGAACTAAGAGGTGGTGCTTGGGTCATTTTTGATCCGGCAATCAACCCAGACCACGTGGAGTTATTCTGTGCTCCTGACACTTGCCGTGGTGGTGTCATGGCACCTGAAGGGACGGTGGAGATGAAATTTGGCGCTGCTGATCTTGTAACTACCATGCATCGACTGGATGACGTTTGCAAATCTCACCTATTAGACCTCCATATTTCAAAGGCGGGACCGTTTTACCTTAGTGCGTTCGCGCAGTTGGTAAATGACCGGCTCGAGGAGCGACATGAGAAATTGTTGCCGATTTATCAGAAGGTAACCACAAGCGCAGAATGCCGCGCGTATAGGAGTATACGCTTGCACATTGGTTTCTTGAGTGCATTAGCTGTCTCACTGCCTTGAGATTTCATCCAACCCATCACCAAACTGCTTGGCTGTCTACATTCACATGCAATTTTATGAGCGTGTCAATCATCCAGAGGTTGGACTGGTCATAAAGTGCCAGTTAACGATCCATTTGGAGCAGTTTACGACATTCACCGCCCACACGAATCCCAATTTTTTCTTTAGGTTGCTCTTCAATTCGCTGATCTGCACGACACACCAGGTCGCTTGATGGCTCGTGGACTGGTGAGCGCTTGTGTGGAGTGGCGATCTAGTCGTGCATTCTTCTTCGCTCTTCTGGCCCGACGTCTCCTGGAGCAGGAGGCTGTGAAGTGTTTGCAGCAAGCCAAGATCCCCACTGTCATGGCGACCAAGCAAGCCGACTGTGAATCCTGTCCACTTTCACAGGCAATCGACGACGTCCCAGCAGCGAGTAGGTACTCTTGATATTCGCAGAACCTCGAATCATTGCGTCACGCAATACCAACCAGAGTCATAGTGATCTCGTCATTGCATTGCCTCCATGATTTCTTCACGTACTTAGCTAAGGCAAAGTGTCTGGTGAGAAGGGGCTTGTACCTGCTAAGCTTTGTCAGTGTAATTCATGCAATTTACCGAGAGGTGGTGGTGTCTGTGGACAAGCACTGTTCCAGCAGCTGCCTGAAATCATAAGGTGATGTACCTGAATTTGTGAACATGGAAGTACCAATCTGGCGTATGCTTACCTTGCGAATGCCCAACACATCTCTAGCACACAATACTTTTCAGTATCTGAACATCGTACCAACACTTAGGCCAAGTGGATACGCTCGATATCCTCCTTGACTTCTTCTAGTCATGCAATGTGTGTGTTTGTGTGTGCCATTTGGAAGTAGACATTGCGTTGGTGAAGAAGCATTCAAGGCAATTTGACTTATTCATGAATTGCTGGCTACACTGTTGACGTTCTTCACCACAGAACTACTTGAAGGTATTGTTCCAACACTGAGCGCGAAGGCGAGCGTCGATGTGCCAACCGAGAGCAGTGAGGAAATCCAACTTCTGAATTCTGCGGAAGCCGCCTGTCAAATCATCGCGGAAACGGGTGAGCACGTGTTCCTTTGCCTTGTTCATGCATGTACCTCCGTCTGTGAGGCTTCGGTGGTGGTGGTGATGGTGGTGGCTTTGCATGGAAGTGTCTGATGCTTCGTGTCTGTTCATTGATGTAGTATATTCACAGCCAGTTCACAGTCTGCAGTCCAACTGCCTAGTTGTGACCAAGCGTCGTAACATAAATACTCGTTCGTCCAAGCTTCCATGCGTCAGTCCGTGCGTCTGTTCACAGTTTCATGTTGGAAAGTAGTGCCCTTGAAATGTGCAAGCAATTGAACACCTTGGTCGTTCTATACAGTGTTATCGCAAGCGCCAAACACCCGCATATTTGTGCAGTCCTAGCGTAGTTTGTAAGACTCCATTGGATGTTGTGTAGAGGCCCAGCGGAGTGCTTCCATCCGCCGTGATTTGTCGCACCTGCGTCAGTGGTTCATCGAGGACTCACGACACCTGTCTGCGGAGGCCGCGGCGCAAGCTTGGGAGCAGCGCCACGTGACCGTCGCTCACTGGCTGGCTACTCAGCTGAAGCACGAACAGCTGCGTGAAGCGCTCTCGGGACTGCGTGACCTTCAGCTGGACTCGGAGTCGTCGGTGTGGAAACTGGCAGAGACTACGGCAGCTCATGGCGATTCCACCGAAGAACAGCCGACCACATCCGGATCGTTGCCGTTTATTCTGCCGCGACTAGATGATATGAAGAAGGACCAGATTGTGAATCACATCTCACAGTAAGAGATTGGTGATATATTTTGCCCTAGGTAGTGTATCTTTACAATCCAGGTGAGCTATTTTTTTCGAGCAAAGGCCTGGGTTTGGGACTCATCCGCTACCATGATGCATGAATCATCTCTTCATTAGAATGTTTCCCCACGTGGCCACGGCTGTGCACATGCCCCGTCTCCCTCGGTTAATGTGATAACTTGACAGGTCTTGCGAGGAGTTAGTTGCATCGCCAGCACTGGCACAACGGGATTGTATTCGCAACCAACATATGACATCTAAATTAACAGCCTTGATTTCGCCATTTTATCTGATGATAGGTTTCTGGAACAGCACCCGGATTGCGTCGACAGACTTTTGAATTCCTTCCGGGGCCTCCAGGTGGCGCGCTCGGATCCAGTAACTGCCACAGACCCTCAAGGTTCGACGTCATCGTCCGAGGCCGCTGCGGACACAGAAACTACCCACAGGGACTGCTGACAGTGCCTGCAACAGTCCAGTCCAGTCAAGTCTCGTTTTGGACATGCCATATCCACATCACGTGCACATTTGCTATGATTTCTTCCATTTTGGCCTTTTGTACTCTCTTGCGTCGCCTTTCGTGCGTCTCCTCCGCTCCCTCTTATTGAGCTGCGCATGTTTGTCCTGCCGCTTTTCGCCTTTGCGCTCACACTGCGTGTCTGTGTTATATCTCCTTGCCGAGAAAATGAAGTCTTTTGATGTACATTACAATCCGTCTTCGGACTCAGTTGGGCACCCGTTATGGTCTTTTGTGCGTAGTTATAGTAGTACACAGTGGTAATGTTTGCGCCTACGTTTGAACTAGATGTTGATTTTAACCTGGCTCAATCGCGTTTGCTCCGCTGGTACAATATTAAAAGCACACGAGCCACACTTGGATTGGAAACAGTCTGGGTAAAAACACATCAATAACGGAAAAATTAGTGCAAGCGGTAAGGAGAGAAATAATTTGAGGCATTTCCCCGGGCAAAAACAGAAGACTTCAGATCGCAAAGTTCAGGTGAAATGGTCGAAGTGGATACTCACCGTTTTCTTATAATTAAAAAAATTTATTCTATTATAGCGATATTAACGTGATATGAGGGCTAAAAATTGCGAAAATTTGAGAAGTGCCTTGAGGTGCGATGTCCCAACAAAATCCCCCCTATTGAATCCTGCCAACATGACATGACCAGGGATCCCTGACTTGTGACGTAGTGCAAAATGAAGAAAATTAGGACAACATAAGAGGAACTTGGCTTGAGTTGTCATCGTTACTTCTGTAACCCTTTAGTGGGCTGACAGCCACCCCGCTTGAGTGTGCGTGCATGGGGATCCGTGTGTACCAATGACTCACCCCCACTTGTTATTGGCCTTTTCAGCATTCGCCTGTTACGCACGCGTACTCATACGCACACAGAGCCACTTGGCAGTTTTGATGCCAATGAACCAGTCGTGTCCGCCGTTTGCCTTTATTCCACTCTTCTCGAGTTGCCTTGGGCTGTTAATTAGAGGGTTGTAAGGTAGTGCTAAATTTCTAGCCACTACATTTGGTGACCCCGACAAAGGAATCATGTTTTCGACTCCGTTGGCTGGTGATTTCGGTCGAATAATTTTCACAATCCTCTTTTTACCATATCTGACCCTACTGCTGCACGATCCCCTATAGAAAACACCATTTCTGTCAGCTTTCCTCCTTATAGCTCCAATGCTGGAGTGTGGTTGATGCAAATTGAGGTTCAATTTCGCAACTTTAAGGTTACTTCACAGTCTTCAAAATACCTTCATGTCGTTCCTTTGCTACAAACAGAAGTCGCAACTGAAGTTCTTGCCTCTGAACATCCTTACGACGAGTTAAAAGGTGCTGTTCTTGCTCGAACGACCGGCTCGAACGACCAGCTCGAACGAGGCCCGTCTTCAACACCTCCTCTTTGGTATCAGACTTGGTGACAGGTCTCCTTCGCAACTCCTCCGGTATATGCGAACCCTTGCCGGGGATAACTAGGTCGATGACTCTGTTCTGCGCCATTTATGGGTTAAATGTCTCCCTGCAAACACCAATGCTATAATTTCAATCCAGAACGCTGACACACCATTTGAGAAAGTCGCTGAGATAGCCGATAAAATCCACGAGTGTTTTTCCCACGTACCGGATCATGACATTGTCTCCTCTGGCGCTACAGTTATCACCCACACTTTCGGCATCAATAGATTTAAGGAACGACTAAACAAACTGTCACTAAAATTTGATGAATTTGCTACAAGTAACCCGAGCAGCTCCTTCAGGCATCCGCAACGTCGAAAACGTTCTTCATCACGTTTTCGCCGATCCAGCCAATCTAGAGAACGATTTGGTCTATGTTGGTACCATCGGCGGTATGGTGACAGGGCACAAGCCTGTAAACACCCATGTGGTCACCCCCAGGCCTTCTAGCCGCCAGATTTACCCGGTAAATGAGAGGGCCGGCCAGTGATGGCGACGAATGATTTAGGCACTCAATCTAGTCGCCTATTTTACGTCCCTGATTCACACAGCGGTTTACAATTTTTGATTGACACTGGTGCCGAGGTTAGCGTAATTCCTCCGGGACCTGACAAACGCCACCTCAAAACCTTCGGTCTTCAACTTTGAGCTGCGAATAATTCCCCTATTGCAACGTATGGCCAAAAGTTACTCACCTTAGATCAAGGCTTAAGGCGACAATTCGCCTTCATTTTCACCGTGACCGATGTTCAACGCCCAATAATTGGTACTGATTTCCTTTCCCATTTCGGTTTACTAGTTGATATAGCACAATGCAAACTAATAGACTCAAGTACAACACTAGCAGTTCGAGGAGTTTCTACTTCAATAAATTCAATTGGAATCCAATTGGCATTGCCCAACTCTAACAGATATGATAAATTTTTGAAAGAGTTCTCCGAGACTGTCAAAGTGGCCCAGGCGCCCTGCGAACCTACTCACCAAGTCATGCATCATATTGTGACTAAAGGTCCGCCAACGACCCCCAAGGCCAGACGACTTGCCCCTGATAAGCTCGGAGCAGCCAGAGCAGAATTTGAACCTATGCGCCGTCTTGGCATTATCCGCCCCTCCAACAGCCCATGGGCGGCCCCTTTATACATGGTACCCAAGAAATCTGGAGACTGGAGACCCTGCGGTGATTACAGAGCCTTAAGTAATGTCACAGTCCCTGACCGGTACCCATCCCTCACGTCCACGATTTTTCGTTGGGTTTAAACGGTGCCAAAGTTTTTTCACGACTCGATCTTGTACGGGCTTATCATGAGATTTCTGTGGCCCCCGAAGACGTCCCGAAAACTACCGTCATTACGGCATTTGGCCTATTCAAGTTCCTACGAATGCCTTTCGATCTACGTAACACAGCACAAACCCTTCAGAGATTCATGACCCTAGTCTTCCGTAATCCCGACTTCGTCTTTGTCTACATTGATGATATTCTCATCGCCAACAAAGACAATTATGAACATTTGCTGCACCTACTGCAGGTTTTTACCCGTCTCAAAGTTTTCGGCATCACCATTAACCCCCAGAAATGTGCTTTCGGAGTAGACACTATTGAATTTCTCGGAAACAAGATCGACGCAAATGATATTAGATCCTTGGCTGAGAAAATAACAGCGATTCGGGAGTACCCAATGCCAGAATCTCCCCGTAGTTTACGTCGTTTTCTTGGTTTAGTCAATTACTATGCACGGTTCATCCCACAGGCTGCTGAAATGTCTCCCCTGACTGACTTGCTTCAAGGTAATCCCAAGAAGCTAACTCTTACTCAGGAGGCTGAAGCTGCCTTTCTGGCTATAAAGGATGCAATAGCAGATGTTGCGAACTTATGCTACTGGAAGAAGGAATCGAAGCTTGTCTTACGAACAGATGCTTCTCAAACTGCGGTCGACGCAGTCCTTCAAGAAGAACTGGACGGTCGTACTGAGCCGGTATCATTCTTTTCTCGAAAGCTTCAACCAGCTCAGACCCGTTACAGTACCTTTTCCGGAGAACTATTGGCGATTTATCTTGCTGTGAGGCATTTTGTCACCTACTGGAAGGACGTGAGTTCACAATCTTTACCGATCATAAGCCACTACTTTAAGCCTTTCATGCAGCCTCTGATCGTTATTCCCCACGCGAATCCAGGTACCTTGACTATGTTTCCCAGTTCACAACCAGTATTCGCCACGTTGATGGGACTGATAACATCATGGTCGATGCGCTGTCTCGAGCGCATATTCATAACCTTGCAGTTCCTGGTATCGATCTTGAGCAGTTAGCTGCAGCACAGATGGATGATCCTGAATTACAACAGCACCGTCAAAATTCTAGTCTAAAGCTGGAAGAGCTGTCACTTCCTCAATGTTCTTCAAAAATTACTTGCGACATGTCACTTGGCAGGCCTGGCCCCTTTGTTCGTGTCTTATTTAGAAAACAAATATTTGGTTCCCTTCATTCTCTTTCACACCCTGGTGTTCGCGCCACCGTGCGCTTGATAACAGACTGGTTTGTTTGACCTAGCATTCCTAGATGTTCGCTTATGGGCTAAACTCTGTATTCAATGGCAACGCAGCAAAGTCCACTGTCATAATATTTCACAACCTGGACGTTTTCCCCTTCCGGACGCGCTTTTCCGTCATATACACATAGACTTAGTTGGACCTCCTCCGCCGTCTCGTGGTTTTATCTACGTCCTAACTTGTGTGGACAGCTTTACTCGTTGGCCCATGACAGTATCTATTAAAGATGTTCTCGCCGAAACTGTTGCCGGCGCGTTTATGGAATCGTGGGTTTCCTTATTTGGTGTTCCCAGTTCTATTACATCTGATCGCGGTGCACAATTTACATCTTGTTTGTTTCAAGACCCAAACCACCTTCTTGGATGCAAGCATTTTCGTACTACAGCATATCATCCAGCATCTAATGGTTTGGTTCAGTGTTTCCACCATCATTTGAAATCAGCAATTATTGCGGAAGCTGCCTCGGACCACTGGTCTGATTCATTACCACTGATTTTGTTAGCTATTCGGAATACGGTAAAGGAAGATATTGACTCCACGCCAGCAGAACTTGTATTCGGTACAACTTTGCGTCTGCCTGGTGAAACGGTCACCAACTCTGACAACACTATTGAGTTCCCATCTTCATCTTATGTCGATCAATTAAAGTACTACATGAATGAAATTTGACCAACCGTGACAAGCACGGATCCAACAAAATTTGCTTACTTCTCCTTATGTATTTGTCCGCGTTGATGGCGTTAAAAAACCCTTGCAACAACCATATGATGAACGCTCATTTAAGGTGGTAGAACGCGCCGGCAGCTTTTTCGTAATTGTCAAAAATTTTTCGCTGGATACAGTGAGTGTAGACCGTCTCAAAGCTGCTTATACCGAAGACACCGATGATCCTTCCACATGCTCAAGCAGCGACGAACTCACTCTACAATCTTCCGTATCCCCACCCTGCC